ATATATATATATATATACACATCAGAAATAAAAATACCCTCTTAAGTAATTCCAAGCACTCTCATTTCCTTTTTCCAACTCAATTTTCTCCAGCGTAAAATCAACTTCCCTATCTATCACTTCTTGCTCAAACTTTGTTGTATTACTTATAACAAAATAGCGTTGGTTCCAAGCAGAATTATTACGGACATCGTCATTTAACAATTGTTCCACATATTCCAATTCCTTATCATATAAACTGCAATCATAATCATATTTTTTATACACATCTGGTCTCACAATCAGCTATAATAAAACAATATTACTATATGTATATTCTATATACATATATAAAAATATACTTACTTAAAAGTTTGTATACACCACTGACGATGTTGCCAGGCGTGATAATTCTTTGCGTCTTTACATAAAACAGTTTCCATAAATGCTAATTCTTCGCTGGGATCTTGCAACCATTCTACAATGACCTTTCTATGATGCCAAACTTGATAATTTTTAGAATTATACTTTATCATTCGATCTGTATATTTTACTTCTTCATATAAGTTTTTTGCCAAAGTTTTAAGTATCTCTCTTCTGTATTGCCATACAGTATAATTGGCTGGATTAAGCCATATACAAGTTTCTGTCAAAGCTAACGCACGTTCTGACTTTTCATTCGACTTTAAAATGGCACGGAAATAATCGTAGGCATCCTTAACTAAAAATTAACATCAACATGAGAGATATGTATATAAATAAATGTTATATAATTTATTGAAGCAAACTTTTATTATGGAAAATAATGTCTATATAATATTTTATGTTATGTATAATATTATATTATATTTTCTAAAATAAGCTTAAAAATGAAATTTTAACTGATTTATGATTTTAATGATTTTTTAAATTATATATACTCACACTTTTCGGAATATGCAATGGATACAACAGGATGAGGACCATCATCCTGGGGTATAGGAGTTACGTCGTTCCATTCAACGCGATCTTTATACAATATCCATGATGTTTTCTCGTGATCATCGCTACTATTTAATTCGTCGTCAGAACTGTCTGACATGGTTTTCTACTTTAATACAGTAATTTTTCTGTTAGAAATCGTAGAATGAAAACAAGATTGCAAGTTATCTTTAATGATCCTAACCTAATTCACTTTTACACGTCTCTTTTTAGTGTTGAAACACGTTTTAAACTTCTAACAACGTTGACGTTAAAAACCTTAAAAATCCTATTTGTTTGCTGCATTTATTGCAATATAATCAGCATTATGTGTTTTCATATTTGAAACTAAACATTTTCAAGTGAATCTTGTCTAGATATTCGCACACATCGTGATTGTGACTAAAAAATATACTTACGTACAATTAAATATAATCTTTTTTTTAACTTTAATTAAAGTTAACTAACTAATATTTAACTTTTTGTAATATTTAATCTTTCGTACATATAAAACACAATTATCGCACCGATCGACATCCAATTTATAGAAATAGTGCGTTACACTTTTTGTATCCAAAGTGAGATAGCTATTCCAATTCACTACAAGTCGAATATTGGATGGAAAAAGAGAAAAAATAAAA